GCAGTTCACAGCAGCTTTGAAATACTAGATTAAAAGAAATAACAACGTTCTTATTGAGGGAAGGACGGATAACATTTCCTTTGGGTGCAATTTGAAGAATAGATGTGTAAGAGAAGGAAATGTAAGTTGTGACAAAGAAGCTCAGCCTTCACCTGAATTAGTTTAAATGCAACCTGCTCAGAGCAATTACTTTCTAGTGGGAAACAAATGGAGTTATATACTCAACCAGTATTTCCATCCTGCCCCATTAGGCATCCTCATAGTTACACAGCACCATATCATTCCTGTGCACGTGTACATAAATATATATTAGTTTTCACTCAAGTGTTTGTTCTTTGTATTATTAACAAGCTAGTAAACAATCCTAAATTACTTCAGATAGTAAGTTTTAGTAATGGTTTTTTCTTATCTTGTGTTTTCTTTAAGTGAGCTCATTCCTGTTCAGCAAAAGATTGCACTTGGTTTAGATTTGGGACCATCTACATATACTAACTTTGTTTGAAACAGAGCCAGTACTGCATTTTAAGTCCTCTGTTTCTCAGAGAGCAAAACTGCATGAAGAAAGTCAAAATTAAAAAAAAAAAAAAAAAAAAAAAAAAGACTGATTGACTTGGACTCAAATCTCTGAATCACACAGTCATTTTGATGTTTCAGATACTCGAGTGGCTGTCAGATGCTGTGGCTATCCCAAATCCAGGGATGTGTATTTTAGATCTAGAATGCCATTGCCAAAATGCTCAGCCCAGCCTGCAATCAGGGCCAGTCTTACAGCTAAAATCCTATGGTCAGGCAATGTAAGTTTCTCAACATACAGCCCTGGGGAAACCAATTTGCAGTCAGCTTTGGAGCCTTTTGATCACAGTGAAAGCAGTTTCTGTGAAAAACCAAGGCAGGCTCTAACTCTAAAATAAAAGCATTAAGAAAATAAACATTGCAGCAAAGCTTAGCAGCCAGCTCACTGGGCCTTGCTAGGTGATGGGTGCTGCTGCTTGTTGGCAATGCCAGTGCTGGTCCTGCTCCCCTCACCACCAACTTCTTGCTTTGTACAGTTCCTCTGAACCAGGAGCTTTCAAATTCTGAAGACAAGGAACCTGCTCTTTACCTTTGCACCTCTGGCTACAAGATGCATTTGAGCACCCCCGAAGGGAAAATGCTACAAATACCACCAGATTGGCTCCTGAGGAGCTCACCTCACAACATGCGTATGAAATCTACTATACCATAGCTGCCCTGAACTATACCATTGGGGAACACTATCAGTAATAAGCCCTCTCTCTTTTCCAAGATGATGAGATTTACTTGCTCCAGCCAAATGCATTTTCTTTGAGCAGTTGACATTCTGAAATGCTCTGGGACAACTCTATGTGCATTTGCCAAGACGCATGCTGGCTTCTTCAGACAGAGACACATGGCAGTTTAAACTTTGTATATATCATGGGCTTTGAAAAACAACAGGCCATCTGGCTGTATTCAATACTAATGGCACTTACTGCTCAGAGAGGTCTGGAACTTGGTATAAAAGACATGGCAGGTCAAGAATGAAATGCATTGGCAGAACTGTGTGCATGAAACTTGCGAGTCAATTACCCCAAGCCAGTACAGACATCACCCATCAGTGTGTTCCAAGCCACACAGGTAGATATGAGAACACAGCAAGGACACGAGCAAGCACTGGGGGTAAGGGTTAGGAACAGTGCACAAGTGGGGTGACAACAAGGAGACTGCTACTGGAAGGAGTTCTCTCTCCTGCGAGGACAGGACCGCTTAAAGTAGATAAGTAATGGGACAGGATGAATTATCAAAGCTTCTTGTAATGGGGGGTAGAAAACTGGTAGACAGCACATCTCTGAAGGGTTCTAACAGCAAAGACGCTGGTACACAGGATCAGATGGGAAAACACGGAATGAGATTGGGAATGAAGGGAAGATCGGGAAGTATGAAGGAGACTTTTTACACTGGAAAGGTCAGATGTTGCAGGTTAGCATTGGCTTTTCTAATTTTTATCATCAACATTGTAAGGGGCTAAGTCTGAATCAGTGTGAGAAGAAAGTACAGGTGTTACGTGCACTGACCTAAGAGAAGACTAGTTTTCTAGTTTTAAGATGTGAAAGTGTGGATATCAAAAAGAGTAGAAAGCCAGCTTTGTAGTTGGATATCATAATGAGATATTCTTATATCAGTCTAGGACAACAGAGAATTGCTAATCCATTTGCAGAAACAAATCATCATTGAGGAAATGGTTTCCTCATTAAAAGAGAAATGTAAACATCTATTTATCGCGGTAACTGTCATGATGGACATTGGCTGATGTATGACAGCTCTTCTCAGTACTTGTCTTTAGTCAGTTTTTGCTTCCATTTGTCCATTGTGCCAGCATCATATTCTAAACTTACCAGAGAATCTATTGAATACATGCACAGATGCTACACTGTCTGGTTACATCTTTCTTTCATTCTCCTTCTGCAGTTTGCCCATAAAAGTGAAGATTAAGCTACGATAACAGTCCTCCTTTGACTGACCTACTTTGAGTCAAAAGCCAAGGAAGAGGATACACAAATCTATTTCTAATGCAGATTAAAACTTGCCTTTGGCACAGCATCCACATGCAGACTCATCACACATTCAAAAAAGGTTTTTTCTTCCTTTTCCCAGTCTCCTGTTGTCTAGCGAGAACCATTAATGATAACTCCCCAATGTTTTCTCCTTATGTTATAGAATTCTTCATTCATAACTTAAGCACCCAGACATGAAAGCGAAACAGAGATGAGTGGTTTCTTCCTTGGGATTCGAACTTTAAATCAAACACCCACTTTTCTGTACTATAAACAGAGCTGCATGTTTAGAGCACAAGGCAGTGCTGTAAAATCTTAAAGAAAAAGAAAAATTTCTTCTGTGAGAAGATTTTACAATAGAAGTGTCAAGCAAAAATAAAGCACTGTTAATAACAGTAACTGTGAACCTGCCAAGTCAGTCATATTTTAACATCACTGTTCTTCTTTTCAGGAAGAAGAATAGTGTGCAAAAATGCCAGTCTGAAAATTAAGTTCTTCCTAAGAGGATAGCTGTAAAGATACACCCAAAGCTTTTTGAAGTTATCTTGTGTTCATGAAATTGAAGAAATTAGAAAAGCACTAACTTTGAGTAACTTAAGATCATAAGAATAATTCAGGTCGCAAGGATTCACAAGAGATCACCTAGTCCAGCCTCCACTTAACACAAGTGAAATGCCAAGTTAGGTCAGACTGCTCATTTCAGCTGTGCTCAGGGATTCCTGAATAGTTCCAAAACACTCTGGTTCCACAGTCTCTCTCCTGGCTACTACTTGGCTGCTCTAACCACAAAAAGCTTTCTCCCTATATTTAGTTGGAATTTCTATTCATGCAACTTGTGTACGCTGTCTTTTGTGTTTCCACTACATGTCTCTGATGTTATCTTCTCAATAAGCTCACATTCCTTTTAGCTCTGCCTCCTTCAGACTGAACAAAAACCAACTTCTGCTCAGATATGCGCTCTTGCCTCCTTTCACACATCAAGTGCCCCAGCACTTGACGCTATTTGACTATCTATTAAGAACACAAAAAAATCATATACAAGTAGGTGTACACAACTAAAGAGAGAAATATGAAATGGAGAGAAGATTTTGGGCTCTTAGCTGATCCATTATTCAACCATACTTTTCAAACTTGGAGGCCTCAAGCAGTCCACAGTGCATCATAATGCACCTGTCTTCAAATCACCTGAAGGGAGTGTTACTGAGCTTGTTCCACTTCAAATTTGAGAGTTTGTTGTGAGCTTTAGAGAAAGACTTTGTTCTTATTTTCACCCTTCTATTATTCCCCATCTATTGAGAACAGCCATTTCAGGGTGATGCAGCTGCTGTTTTAGAGGAACAGAGTGCAAGTAGGTACCTTCCATCATGCCAGGGAGCTGCCAACCTCAGTGCTACTTAAGGATAATCAGTTTAAAGACGACAACTTGATGACTAGATCAACTGCTTAATCAATGTTATGAATACTATCAGGAATACCAGAAACCTATTTCAGTTGAGTAAATCTCAGGACATCCAGCTTGTGTATTGTAGACTACCACCTTATCACAGTTTTCACATCTCATTATAGACTTATGTTTATTTCACACAATAATCCAAAGTCACTTTAACTGCCAGTGACTTTGAATTCAATATTCTGGAATCAATTTCAGACAGAAGAGCTTGTTGTTCAGTAAGAAGGGATTAACTGGACCAAACCTTATTTAAATAAAAACTTCAGTTTCCACATTCCCTGCCTATGTGCCAGAGCTCTGCAGATTTATATCCCATTCCTGTAGCTTAAGTCAGACATTATTTTCCTGATACAAGGATATTAAACCACACTCTTAAATGAATCATCACAACCTCAAATTCTGCTCAATCCAACATTTTTCACAGTAAGGATATTTCTGAAGTGCTTTAGCTCAGTTATATTCCACTGCAGGGAACCATCTTTGCAGCAACTTGACACTAGTTGCATTACCAGTATTCCTGTTGACTAGAAATACTATCTTATTATTTTACAACAGTCTAAAGTCTCCAAGACCAAGAAGTGTCCATGTGAGCTGCCAGTTTTTGTCCCCAGTTATCAGTTCACTGCACATATGCAATAATACACTTTTGCATTTTTAGTAATTATTTCAACTTTACTGGAGTGAAGATGTCACTGCAGGCACAGAGATTGAAGTTCTCCACATTTTCAGAAAACAGAGCTGAAACTTCACTAAACTGACCAATCAGTGTGTGTATCTGATTTGGGTCAGAAAACAACTCCACAGGACTAAGGACTTAAGTAAGGACTTACTTAAATAGTTAATCATTTTGGTTCAGTACTTCACATATAACAGCAAAGTACAAACATTAAGCAGCGCTGGGCAATTTTTTTCTAGCATTCCTTCTTTTTGCATCTTTGTTGGCCTACAGCCAGCTAGCACCAGCTCACGCTCTCTTCTGTTCTAGGCAGGGTTCTTACCGGTAACGACACTGGGGATTTTAGACAGAAAGCTCTTGACAGTTCGGATGGGGACTCCACCAGTTTTGTCATCCTGCATTCTCGTAATGATGTCTTCAATCTGTCAAAAGGAAGAAAAGACTCAGTGGCTTATGCAAAACAGCTAATGTTATGCCTGTGTAATTTGACTGCTTTGAAGCCCTACTGATAGGACGTGGATCAAATATGTCACACGTTATTATACAAATACAGACTGAGAGAAAGGGTCAACAACTCCCAAATTTAAAATCTGAGATAAAGTCCAGCTTGAAAGATGGTAATATGAATGCACCGATAATCCTATTGCAGTCATTCTTTTTTGTTGATCAGTGGTGATAGAGACAGAATGCTGTGAATTTAGTTAAATAATATATGTAGGAATATACACAATCACTTCACAGGAACATACACAATCCATCATACACAGGAAGGTGTACAACCATCTCCATAAGTCAGTTAAGGAATCTAAGAGGGCTGCTCTGGAAGTAATGCCTGTTATTTTATTATGTTGGCCCAGGATAGAGCAGATGGTGGTGGTATGGCAGTAGAAGTTGAACCTTCCCACCAATATACATTATATTTTGTCACTGTGTTGAAAAACAGCATTCCATAGCTGAGAATGTGCTCTATCAAACAGTATTACTGTGCACTTTGCAACTGTTGTTATGCCCATGGAAATAAATGGAAGGCACTACTTTCAGAGCAATCTATGTAATTACTGGAGAAAGGAGCTTAATACAACCTTCCATTTTCCTAATACTGGAAGGGATATTAACTGAGGATACCCTCTGCACCTACTTGAAGGCAAGAGCATAGAGATCAAAAAGCTGAAAGCAAGAACAACACAGAAATATGGTATTTCTAAGAATTCCTGTATTTCAAATAGAGATCTGAGAAACACAGGAAAAATAAAAGCAGAAGCTTTCCTGTTAGCTCAAGCGGTTCAGTGTAGAGTACACTGCCTGATAGTCACAGGACCTTCAGCTGTTCAGGTCAGAAGCTAGCAGTGGTCACACTGAGAGCAAAGCCCTTCCAAGGCATCACACTTCTGACAGCTTTCCTGAAGATTTTCCTCTTTAGAAATGATGTGAAATAAAACCTCAGCAAAGGGCCCTTGTCCAGGAGGACAACCTCTTTCCAACTCGGACAAGCGTCCCTCATTTAGATGTGAAAGTAAATGTGTTTTACAGACTCAACATTCACATTTCAAAATAAGTATAACTTCAAGTCTTCCCAAGATGGTAAGAAAATCTTCCTGCCAACATCAGATGCTGCATCTGATCACCATGTTTTTAATCACTGACTATCACATAACTGAACTGTTCACACCTTGTTTACACATTATTTTTAACACAAGCCAAAATGGATTCTCAGCAGGAATGAAGTCAGAAAGATGAAAATAACTTGAGAAAGTTACTAGATTGCTGAAGGGTCAGTTATCTGGTTGGCCCTGCTCAAGCAGAGGCTGCACCAGCTGACCTCCACAGGTCCCTGCCGACATCAACCCCTCCATGATGCTCTAATTTACAGCGTATTTGTGATAGAATAATGCTTATTTTGCCCCAATCCAAGCACTACAAAAATTAATATTACCCTTTCCCAGAGCACACCAAGCAAGACTCTCAGACCTTTTTGTCCCACACTACAACCTGTAAGTTTACTGCCTTGCTCCAGATGCACTTGTAACTGGAATCCGAATTCAGATACCAGAAATAAAATATTCTAAAATGAGTCTGATGTCACAAGGAACACTTACAGACTTCAAAAACACAAGCATAGTTTTTTTCTTAAATTGCTGCTATTGTTGCTTCCTATTTTTTATTCCAACAAAAAGTTCAGAATTGAAGAGCTAAAAAAAAAAAAAAAAAAAAAAAAAATAGCCTTACTGAAGGAAAATAAACAACTTGTTTTGCTCACTGGAAACCAAGTAAACCACCTAACACAATTTAAGTCGTTGCAAGTTGTGATGATCATGTCATGATAAAAAAGCTAAATTTCAAGCAAAATAAATATTTAATAAAGGCAAAATGTATTTTCTTTTCAAACCAGCTCCATTCAAAGTAATAAAGCTGGCTCTGATACCTTAAATGTGACTGTTAATTTGGATTTCAGTTGCAGTTGCCCTAGAGATGATTCCTTCGTAAAAGGCTCCAGAAGCAGCCTCTTCCTTTTGTCCTCAGGCCTGACTACCAGCAGTTTCTGCTCTGAGTGTTGGATGTTACTTTTCTCCTCCTCAGATGCCATATCTATCTTTCCTGTAACACTCCAGCATTTGCAATCCACTACCTAAGAGGTTACAGCCTCCTCTTGCAAGCAGTCTTTCCATTCCCAACACAGTTCCTGGTGGTCTCCAGCAGATTCTCTGGCTCCTCAAAGGAGCACATGATGGTCAGCTTAATCTTTACTTGTGAACAAGTTTAAAATGAAATATGGTCTGCTCGTGCTGGCTGGTTCCCTCCACAAAGCCCCACATGTGCATCTAGGACCAGGTCCCTCTGACAAGCTCTCTGAAATCTGCTTGTTTCACCTGTCCAGGTAATTTTCACCCTGCCCAAATGCAGGGAAAAGAATATTAAAAAAAAAAAAAAAAAAAAGAAAGAAAAAAACATCAGCAGCTCTGAAGGAAGAACCACCTCTGAGACAGCGCTGGGAACAAGCGGAACAGCACGGCTAGAGAATTGCTTTGTGACCTCCAGCAAACAAATCCATCTGTCTCTGTCCAAGGCTCCCCTCCTGCCTCACGGAGATAATAGCACACCAGAGGCGACAAAGCACAATTCAAAGATACCAGTGAAGGACACACAGCTCGTGAGACAGCTACAGAAGATCCACTCAGCATCTGAGGGCATCTCACACACCCAGCACCTGGAGCCAGGCCTGTGCAAGGCAATACATGGGTGTCTCTCAACTGGCAGTGCTGGTTGGCTGCTTCCACACCGCTAATTCCCAGTGACTGCTAAAAGCAGGGTCTGGAATTGATGCTGCTTTCATCTCCACTTTTTCCTAAATTTCAGAGCCAATTTTCACATAAAGGCAGAGTGCTGCAGGGTCTCCTCACACGTAAATGTGTGAAGCCAGAAAAGAACAACTACATTCTTCAGTTGTTACTAGAGGGTGAAACAGAGCTAATAATGTCATCTTAAGACTGCTGACATGCTTTAGCATTTATAAACATCTAATCGAACAGCTTGAGAGGGTGGCAATGAGAGAACATATACAGAGACGCCCGCTGCAACTATATGTGCCCTGCTGCCAGTATCACCACGGCTCCACAAACAAGTGTCTGCTTGTCAAGCCTTTACAGTGAGGGGCAGGACTCACCCCATTGGTAGGATCATCTGAAATGGTGGCCAGGAACAGTGACCCTTCTTAGCCAGCTGCTGAAGAGAAGGACCAGGGCCTGGGGAGCACCACACAGTGCTTGAACCTCTAGCCAACATTAGAAGCAAAAACAGCCACGGAAAGCAGGAGCTGCAGCTATCCCCCTCAGGCAGTATGTACACCATTAGAAAAAACAGTTTAACATTCAGCAAAAGAAAACAAACCCAAAACACAGCAAATTAATCCTGCAAATAGAAATTCTCCAAATAAGTTGAACTAATGCAGTTTTCTCCCCCTGCCAAAACACAAGCTTTTTAGGCCATCGGCGTCAACAGTTAAAAGCAAAAAACATCAATGCATCAATGGTTACGGAAACTCAATTTTTCATTAAAAACATTTTGACAGACAATTCCTGATGAGCTCAATTTCTACATGAGCTATAACCACATGAAAGAAAAGACTGTTTTTTGCATGTCAGAGCTGTGTAAAGATACTCAGAGTGAACTCATTTACTGACCGTGCAACTTTAATTATGAAAGCAAAGCTACGAACTCATCAGCAGCAAAGGTCTTACATCATTCAGAATAGAGCCACTTTCATCAGAAACCTGAGGTCAGCTTCAAATTAGATCCAATATTGACTTTGCAGTGCTCTGCAAGCAGAAGCGTTAATCTTCTTATGACCCAGTGAAGATGATGTGCGTTTTAAAACACTTCAACGGAATCCAAATACCTGAACAATTATTACTAAGGCATGATACAAGTCACATTTTAGGAGAAAAACTTATATAATTAGTGCTACACAATATAGACTGAATATAGGTGGTTTTCATGCAGCTTATGAACTAGGCATACATATGTGCAAAAAACCCACCATGCACAGACAAAAGCACAATGTTCTAGCCAGGAAAACTGATGTGCAGCACTGTTCTCTTCATGCCAATACCAGGAGGGGCTTGGGGCAAGCATGTGCTTCCTTCTGGCAACATTTGCTGAAGCCACTGTCTTCAGTGATGGGCAGCCTCCTGCCTCCCAGCCAGGGGCAGATGCACAAGTTGTCTTGGAAACGCTAGAGATTTGCTTTCCCATTGCATCACTACACCTCATACAAGTGGTATGCAGCTCTCTTGATCACTCATGCAGTGTTGAATGAGTACAGAGCACACATACCTACCACAGCCTGCATGGGGGACTAATTTAGAAGAAGCAAATTCCATCCAAGACATGAAGGAGCAGAGCTGCATGCCCGCCCTGCTTCCTCTCTCTCTGGGCACAGCATGCAGCCCCTCACTGGCAGAGTGAAGGCCCTGAACCCAGCCTCAGGGACACTTAGAGGCAAAGCTTCAACCCAGCTGTTCTCTGGAACAACATTACACAAGTTGGCTCAGTTGGCAGGCACCAAAAGTAAGGGCGATTTCAGTTCAACAGCTTTGATTCTTTGAGTAGTTTCCCTGTTGGCTGCACTTTGAATTTCACTTTGAGTTCTGGCTGTGCACTAACTATCCTAATGCAGAATGAAATTATGCCAAAACCTGGTTTAGCACTGCAATGACCAAGAAAGCTCTAGGAATCTTAAACCCTCCAACAACACCAGATTGAGGCTCTTATCTGTAATGTGATTTAAGGCCAGTTTTTCAAGTCTGATGAAAGGCAGTACATAAAAGGAGTTTCAGTATTGCACTCAGTGACATAAAATAACAAATGGACAAGCTGATCATAGCAGCCAATGGCTACAGGGAGGTGCTGGCTCACAGACTCATTG